GGGCACCGAAATGAGAAAAACGACCCTGGCATACAGGGGCCTTTCCCGATTAGGAAATGCGAGCCGGGTGTCAGGGCAGCTAGGTTAATTAGATGCGGTTATATAAAAGGCACCGAAGCAATCGCACCAAAAAATTAAAAAAAAAGTCCCACCGCTTTTTTTTTTTTTTTTTTTTTTTTTTTTTTTGTAGTTGTTGCTGACCAGCAAGCGGCGCCGACGCCCCCCTAGCGGACTTTTATGGAACCACTCTAAAGGGCTCGCGGCATACGTTTCGGCGCAACGATAATGGGAAGTTTTGTCTTAGGTAGGTGAACTCCCTAATGGAGAGTTTTAGATACACGTGGGAAGCTCGCGCTGGACGCAAGACAAGTGAAGGACCTCTTTGCCGTTCTAATTTTGTCAGGGATTGTATATGTTTGAACAATTTTATAACTTATTACGGGGAAAAAAAAATGAAAGCCGTTTACAATTCTCTGTAATGCCGGTTGGAGCGCAGCTCTTGAGGAGGAAGCTGGAAGCGTACTGAGGGATAGGCGGCTCCTTAAGGTCACGTGACCTCAGGGGGGGGGGGGGGTTGTGTGACGTCAGAAGGGTCACGTGACCTCGGGGGAGGGTTCACGTGACCTCAGGGGGTCATGTGACTGTAGGCGGTCACGTGACCTGGGGGTTACATGGCCTGGGGGTCACGTGGCCTGGAGGTCACGTGACCCTGCGGTTACGCCGACGGCGACGCCGCTCAAGCCGGCCGCCTAAGAGCTGCGCTCTAAAAGTGACGTAGAGGGAGACGCTTTCGACGGGTAAGGATAGGGGGCTGCCGTCCGCGTTTTCCCATAGCACGTATCTGTGCCAAAAATGAAACCCAGCTCCACATTCAAGCAAAAGGCCTATCTTTCGCTCTACCTTAGATGTCACCGCGCCGTGTGCCAAAATCGAAGGCACCATACTGACCGCGAGCTTCGACATATTGTCCGAAATAAAAACGTAGACTCCCGAGAAAAAAAAACAACAATTCAGCAAGGCCAATTGGCAGGTTCGTCCCTGGTGCAATATCACAGTAAACAAGTCGTGAACTTCCGCATTCTTTCCCTACAATTAAAAAAAAAAAAAAAAAACACGAAAGGAAATGGAACAAAAGGGGTCAGCAGTTGGCTTCGTGGAGCACATCCGGCGTCACGCTGATGAACCTAGCTCCAAACATACGCGTCTAAGAAAAAAATTGTCGAAAATATATATTACCCAAAATGAACGCGAAGCACGTTTTTTCTATAGTGCGGAACCTGCGCCGCTGAAACCCAACGCAAGGTGGCACTACTTTAAAGGACGTTCACCTGATGCCGGGGAAACAAAACCCACACCCTACGCAAAACAATAAAAAACCCAAGCAAGGAACGTTAAACGCAAACGTTGCAAGAGTAAACAAAAAAGTAAAATCCATAAAATTCGTGCCACCGAAAAAAAAAAATCGTAAAATCGAAGGCAAAGAAGAAGGTAGTCGGAGGTCGCCACCAAAAACGCGAGCTCGGATAGAGGGGAGACCATACAATAAAACTGGAAGCAAACAAGCGAGCCAGGTACGACTTTCCTTACCGTCCCTCGCCCAACGCCACGCGAAACGAAAAGCATAAAACTTTATATATAGATATATACATAAGAAATTAAAAAGCGGTTTCCGTACCACAAGGATCCTCCCACTCTGAGCTCCTCCACACGCCTGTACACAGACGCGCAAAGTCACTCCCTCGAAAATTCGAAAAAAGAAAAAGAAAACAATGCAAAACGTCCGCAGCCCCCCAAAAGCCATTCCAACCCGACTTCCACACGCCCCATCCACCCTTGCCCCTCCCCTCTCTCCAGCCGCTTAAAGTCACACTTGGTGTTACAGTATCCGACGTTACAAAAACGTATTTTGGACAGCTTAGGGGAACGTATTCAATATCCTTCTGTAAAAAAGCAAAACAAAAAATAAACAGGTAATAGTTTTTTCTCCAAATAACGCAGTGGTAGAGTATTATCATTTCTTGGCGTATTGACATGGCGGTATGGTGAGATTAGTATAAAGACGTACAAAACGGAGTTCTACAATGCGACCGCGCAGTGTGGGTTACATTCATTTCGTTGCCGTTCAAGAGGGGGCTAGGAGATAAATGACATAAGCTCGCCTGAAAGAAGCGAGCGACCCAAACATCGTTTCCTCTCCCGGACTCGAACAAGCACATTGCCGAAGTCCTTCACCCCCCAAACTTTTGATTTTTTTTTTTTTTTTTTTTATTTAGAATGTTTTCTTTCGAGTAAAAAATAAACATAAAATTAACATTCCCTCTCTTCTTTAATTCAACGAGTCGGTGAATCCGACTTTTGTGCGCCTGATTCATAGCCTCTTATGCACTGAATGGGAAACTTTTTTTTATATATATAAATATTAATCCAAATTTGGTGGAAAAAAAATACAACTTTCTATTACAGGTTTATAGTTAAAACCTCGGGGAAAAGGGCTTTCAGAACCGCCTCATTCACATCGTTACCCAAGTAAAAAAAAAAATGTATATATTTAGTAATCGTATTTATATAAATGCTCGTGTAAGAGCGTCATTCAGGATCGGAAACCCAGATAGTATTCAGTGAGAGAAAAAAAAAGAAGAAAAGGAACAATACGATCCCACCGATCGTGTGACACTCCTTGTAAGCCGCTACCGGAACTTCCGGTTCATGTTCCGTACCCACTTCCGCCGCCAAAGCAAGCGACACAAGGGCAGAGAGAGACGGGGGGAGATGCGAGGACAAGTTTTCGCCGACACTTCGGGATGGTCGTAAAAATGGTGAGAGCCGTTCAGAATCGCTTTTCGGCGGCACACAGGCGTCCTTGAAGATGCCGAAGACGCCGTCGCGACCGCATCCATCCCCCCCCCCCCCCCCTTCCCCCCTCTTTCTTTTCTTCTCTTTCATTCGCAGCCTTCGGTAGCGCAGCAACGTCTTCAAAGAAGCGTGGCGGCGAGCTGTCGGCTTCCTCGGTGCTTCTTGCAAGGACCCGAGAGGAGAATAGAGAACTTCCAGAGCCACTTACGGAAATGGATCCTCGAATCACCAGACAATCGCCCCGTGCTGTTCTCACACAAATACACGACAGAAAACAACAACAAAAAGATGCCGATTTCGGGGAAAGGCGAGAACACAGATTCCTGGCGCCGTGTTGAAGTGATCACACTGTCCACATCACGTCCGGTGTAAATAAACGGTTCCAGGAGTATTGCCTATGACATAAACCCCGACACTGGAGGAGGTAAGAACGACACAAACACTAAAAAGGTCTCGTTTGATGCCGTTAATGTAATGGCCCGTCGCACCATTAGTAAATAAGATGTCTGTAAAGAGATGCTTTATAAAACTGGAAGGCGTTATGGAGGAATAACGAATGTTATTGCGTTTTCCGGAGATGCACAGAAGAAAAAAAGACGCCCATTTATTAGTGTTAAAAAAAAAATCACAAAGCAAAGAAGCACGTATCGGGAAAAGGCGAGACACAAGCTTCGCAGCGCCATGTTCCAAGTGATCGCACTGCCGCCACATGTCTGGAATAAACAATGAATAAATGTTTCCCGTATTACTACTCTTTATCACGATCTTTAGTTTACGTGATGAGCCCACGAAGACCCGACTGTCGATGGACATAGAAAAATGTCGGTTACATTATTATCATTTCTTTTTAAAATTCAGCACAAAAAAAAAAAAAGACGAGAGAAAGGAACACATACAATATCTATCGTGTTTTTTTTTTTTTTTTTTTTTTTCCGAGACACAGATGGTGCTACGCTATGATACTTCAGGTTCTACGTTATCATGCTCTATGTCTGTTTTGGTATTCATCAATAAAAAAAAAAAAAAACCAAAGAAAAACACGAGACCGAGGAATAAAACAATTATATAAAACATTGAGCATGATAACTGAGGAACACACACACAAGAGGAAAAGGGGAGGGGGATGGGGGGGGGGGGGGGGGCTAGGAACACTGTTAAGACGCTTATTGCAGCACGCTTTCTTGGTCACCCTATGTCATGAATGAATGTGATGAGGAATAAACAGTTTTACTATTATAAAGAACGAAAAAATAAATAATTCCTGCATGTTTTTGTTTTTTTCCTCCGTGTTCAGCTCTCCGGGTCTTCGTGATTGTGAATTCTCACCAACAATACTTGTTTTAAGTACCATTATATTTTTCGGCTTATTCGAGCAAGCGGCACGTCCACCGTTTCATAATTTAACTCAAATGAAACAAGCGAAGGCCTAGAACTAAAACGTCAACGGGTTAGAAGCTGCACCTGTTGGCATCGTTACACGAGTGCTGTTCGTTCGGCCGTTTCAGGTAGCAATCTTGTGGAGGTTTGGGAGACAGCTGTTTAACGAGCTATGTACTCGTGACAAACACAAACAAACAAAACAGTTTAAAAAAAGCAGATGACAGCTGACAATTTTGGATGACTTCATATGGAAAGAGAACAACGGATTCCTCCTGCGCCTTAATTTAGAGAGCCAGCCCGATTTGACACCTTTCCTGCACCCCAATTCTAAATTTTTGAACTACATTACTATCCAGTTCACAAGCACAAACCAGACGACCAAACCAGCCCAATTCTTCCCACCATCCCCATTTCCACCAACCAGCTGCTATTACCTGTCAAACCTGTCAAACTAATCACCCGACCATCCCCCTCCGATGCTTTCAAACCAGGCTGCTGCAACCATCGCAGCAATACGGGCAAGCAGGCCAGCTTCGAGGAAACACATTTCCCGCAACACAACAGGCTCACGACTAGAGCACACCACGCTTTCCACCGGCTTAACTAACGAACCCAAACCTCCCCCAAAAGCCCTTCCCGAAAAACGCAACCGGGGCAAGTCCGAAATAAACGCCAGATTCGCAGGAAATTTCTCGGCGCCAGCCGTACTCGTAGTACGTAAACAAACAACGCCGGCCACAGCCGCGACGCCGCCGAGCACGACTCACCTCCGGAATTTTTCGCCGCTGAGGCGCTTTTCCTCCTCCTCCTCCAGACGGAACACCGGAGCCTTTCTTCGTTCCTTTTTCCGCCGAGAAAACAACAGATCGTTGCACATCCGAGACACCCCCCCTTGGCTAGCGCACAATGCTCACACAGCACACCACGGCACACACACACACACGCGCTCGAAGCAGAAAGCAGAACACGGTAGTTTACATTACAGCGGGAGAAGCATCCCGAAAAGCAGTGCGCGCAGCGAGCAGCCAAAACACGCCTGGAGCCGCCAGTCAAGCCGGCTTTCGGCGGCGATGTCCACGGCCGCCTCGCCGGCGCCGGCAGAGGTGCCTGCTCTTTCAATCGTCCCTTCTCCTCTTTTTTCGGATGTGACGTCAAAGTGACGCCTCCTCTCCGTGACGTCACACGCGGGAAGGCGGAGCCCGCAAACGGAACGCGTCTCCGCGTCTCCGTGCGACACCAGCGACACGGGTTGTTGGCGGCGGCGTGGTGGCGGCAGCTTGCGACACAGAGGAAGGAGGAGACTGGCGCCGCCGCTAGTTTCGGACGACCATATATTATTTTTTGTTAGTTTCGTTTTAGAGCTTGTTTTTGGTTGCGCACTTCACGGCAGTTTCTCCAGCTCGCACGCGCGACACAGCGCGTACGGCGTCGCCCTTCGGGTTGTCTAAGTTCCCGTCACAGGAAAAGCTCTCCAATATCAGGGGTGCTTCTTTTTCTTTTCTTTTTTTTTTCGTGGCGTATGAGGTGTCCCCCTCTTTTTCATAAAACCTTCCCATTTCCCAGTTTATTTTTTCTCGCAGGAAAAGAGGGGCGGCACAACCGTTCGCTTATCACCCTACTTACTCCACTGCGCGAAGGTGTTGAAAAATATTATAATATAAAATAAAATCCTCCTTTCATCTTCCTCTTTTTTTTTTTCTTTTTTTTTTTTTTTTTTTTTTACTTAGGTTTTGATTCTCTCCAAAGGAGCGAAGCAGGATGGAACACCAAAGCGATGTTTTGAAATTCAAATTTCGAGAGTTCCCGTCCCAAATTCCCCAAAACGGCGAGCCGTTCCGGCAAGCCCCCCAAAGGCTACTAATGTGTTTTTGTTTTCGCTTTATATTCTTTTTTTTTTTTTTTTTTTTTCCTTATCTGACGACTATTTGTCGCTCCGACAATTTCACGGACGACAAAGCCAAGCGCGCTCGCCTTCTTTCCCGAGCAATCTACTTTGGTACGCGCTCTGGCGCTGTATTGAGCCTCGGGGCACCTCAGCCGAACGAACTTGCCATAGACGCCTCAATTGACCCAATCCACAGAGAAGATAAAGATCCCAGATCTACTTTCATGATAAGACAACGCGTCTTAAAAGCACGACCACTAAAAATCATGACTAGACCTATAAAATATTAATAAATAAAATTAAAAAAGATACGACCAAACCCGACTCTTGTAATCGGCAACTCGTGGATCTCCGAATTAATCTTCCACGGTTCCGCAATGAGTGTCCATATTTTCTCTCAGTTTTACTTCAGCGTCCAGACAGGCTTAATGAAGATTCCCTGCGGCTCTTTCCTTCGCCGAGACAAAATCAACTCCGGGTCCAATTTCGATTAAAAAGAGAAATTACGCAGACCACTGCCCTACAGCGTCCTTATTATAAACCTAACCGACGTACACACCGCCGAGAACCGAACTCAATATTTGAGTTTTTTGTTATGTTTTATTTTTAGCCACAGAGCCAGGGGGGGGGGGGGGGGGGGGGGGGGAGAGAGAGAGAGAAATCCAATATCGGGGGTCGATCATTCCTGGGGTATAAGACAGCGATAAATAATTCAGCTCCCCACCGCTACCGTCCCCAAAAAGCCAGTGGCGGGGGGCAGACATACATACAAATAAAAAAACAACACGCAAAGACAGAAACGTAAATCATGTAACGAGTTTATTTATTTATTTTATCAAAGGACGACGGGGAGATGGTATCAGGAGCCGTATCACACGCAACACCCACCACCAACAAAAACAAAACAAAAAAAGCCGAAACTTACAATCAAATACGGAAGTAAAAAAAAAAAAATAAAGTACGGCTACATATGAAACGGATATTAGTAAAGCCCAAGATGACGAATATAAATAAATAAATAAAAAACAGCAAAGAAATAGCTAACCCAAAAGTGGCTTGGTAAAGTCGCCGTATAATAGAAACCACGGGGCGGCGGCGGATGCAGAAGAAAAAAATAAATAAATACCCGACCACCACCGACCCTTGCGAAGATTCCGGTCCAAAAATTACTTGTAACTCTTTTATTCCTTCTTACTATTTTCTCGCTGCTCCAAGTCGGCGACGGACTTGATGCGCTTGTCGCTGCATATATACATGTACATACCTCGGTCTCACATCAGACTTACAAAAAAACAACTAAAAAGAAAAACATAAAATAACAAGAAGATAAAAAAAAAAAAGAGCAGCGAACGATTAAGCGCGGTAGATAGCATGCAAATTCAAACCGACCCCCATAACGATTCCTCCTCCCTCCCCTCCCTTTCAAAGTTCCTGTTTTGGGATCCGCTCGGTGTTTTCACGACCGGGGAGGGATTATGTGGTTGAAAAAAATGGTAGAGATGCGCGCGGAAGCCACAAACATGAGAAATGACGGGTCGGTAGGGACGATAGCGGTGGCGTCAACCTTTCAATCAACGTTTACTCAAATACGCTCGCTGTATATACGAGCAGTCTGGGTTCTGTATCGGTGTCAGACTTGGACGTAGTTCAACTACTCTACTCAAACTACTGTAGTTTAACTACTTTTTCGAGTAACTTAATAACTTTCAATTACAACTTGATTTGGGTAATTAGTAGTTTAATTTAACTACTTTTTTCAGGTAACTTCTACTCAAATTACTAACTACTTTCGAAATTATATAGTGCTAATTTTTTCCATCACGAAAGTTTGAGCGCAGAAATGAATAAGCCGCCGGCAGATGAAGTGGCATTCCCTAACATGGGGTCTCCTTGTTCGGGAAGGCGTCCTTGGGTCAAGGTGGCGACGAGCAGCCAAAACATAAGACCGGCACGCAAGAACGCAGGAAGAGATGCTTGGTCGGGTATTGACCTAATCCGGTAATGCACGCAGGCGCCGCTTTTCCAGCTGCAACCGTGAAAGACAGGGACACTCCGAGAGTTGTTGTCTGTCTTTAGAGAGTTCTGACTCAAGCGGTATAGTTCCACGGGAGGCGCCACTGGAATGACCTCGCAGCTGGGCGCCTAATCCCATGGTCGCCTTGTTGTCAGCGCATACGCCTTTGCAAAGCCGGACTCCCCCGCGCACAAACCCTGGCACGGATAATCCGTTCATGGAAGCACGTTCCCGCTTCCGGCAGCAACTGTATACGAGCGACGATGCTTGTTCACGTAATCCTTCGTGTCCTTCCGACCATCCACGCCAGGGAGACCTCCTCTTTGTTAAAAACGATTTACTTGTCAGGCGTGTAGGGGTGTCCAAACAGAACACTACAAAACGCACGACTCCAACAAATCGTGAAAATTGAAGCGGACTCGCCCGCTTCAATTTTCACGATTTGTCGGAGTCGTGCGTTTTGTAGTGTCCTGTTAGGACACCCCTTTTGGGCCCGTCAGAATATTGTAGTCGCCGGCGAGTATTGCGAGTTACCCTTGGGAGATCCTTTTGTTGGACCCGGCGTCAGCGGCGAAGTATACTTCGGTTCATCGTCTGTTAAACCAAAACATTTCTTTTTTCAGTAGCGTAGCACAAGCGCTACAACGGAACGCGCAGTCGTCCGGATGATCTCATCGTCGTGGCGCGAGACTTGAACAGTTGACCGTCTGGTGCACTCGCTCAGCGTACTCTCAAAACGACGTCGGAATAAAGAGTGGCCAGTCATGACAATCTCGACTTGACAAAGAAAAAAGAAAAAGGAGGAAAGTTTGTTATAAAAGACCCTCTACCCGAGGCAAACCTCACATGTTTCGTCATGGACACCTAAGATGCCGACACTCGCTTACCCGACCCTGCGCAGCCTGTTTCTCAAATTCAACGCTGCCGTTCCATTCAGTGCCACGGTGGAACGTCTATTTAGCTTGGCTGGGGACGTCTTTAAAAGGAAAAGGGGAAAATTCTCCTATCAAGAACTTTAAAAGTCAATTACTTCTGCGAGCGAATAAACTATTTTGGCGAAAACGCAAGCTATAAATAGACTGCATTTATTTTAGGCTCACAGGGTTTTTATTGATCAAAACTGCTGTTCATTTTGTTACCACAAAAATATAAAAAAGTAACTTCGAAAGTAACTTCAAAGTAACTCGCTACTTTTTAGAGTAGTTAGTAGTTTACTCAATTACTATTACAAATGCATAATTTCTACTCTACTCCAATTACTTTTGGCATCGATACTCAGTAACTTAACTACCTTTTTTGAGTAATTTGTACATGTCTGATCGGTGTAACGCGTCGATCGATGTAACGTTGCGCGTGTACTGTCGCGGACCACATGAGCTGCAACGGTCGGTTTCTAGGGAAAAGATTTGGTCCCAACTTAGGTCCCGGAATTCTCTACGACAAAATGGAGAGATAACAAAAAAAGTTGTGGGAATTGCAGGAAAAGGGCGGATCGGGAGCAGCGGCTAATATTAACCGTGGAAAGATGGAAGGAGGAAAACGAATGAAGGAGAAAGGATTCGAAATCAAATCATCGTTCTTGCTTTTTCCATCGTTTTCCTTGCTGACGGAAGCTTTAAAGTTTCAATGGAATATCCGATCTATTACCGTCAAGATCATACAAGCAAGGAACATCAAAACGAGATGGACGAATAACAGAGCCGTGCAGCAAAGATTTATTTATATATATATATATACATATAAAAACACGAGTATGTGGCGTTTAACTTCCTGGAATGAGACGTTACCCAGCGCACTGAAGGTTAAAAAAAAAAAAAAAACTATCGGGAGAAAAAAAAAAAAGACTATATCGGAGATTATGCGGGTAATTATTTCAAACTACAGATAAAGTAACAGACAACAAAGCAAAAAGTACAGAACAAGCAGTGTAAAAAAAAGACAAACAATGACATGAACCCTCGTTTCAAAGCGCGCGCAGAATCCCCTTGTCCGTATGCCTCGCTCAGCGTGCAGTAGCTCCTTTCCCTTCAAATCGATTACGACCGGCCCCCGCCCCGCAAAACGAAATAACCAACCTCCGCACGACGTCGGCAAAATCAAACTTCAAAAGGAGTTGCGCCCTCGCCCCGTTCAATTCCGCACCCAACCTTTTCTTGAGCAATCGTGAACGCCACATCGGCGACCATAT